TCATGCAAGCAGCCAAACTGCAGGAGAATGCTAGGGTGTTTCCAGCCCCAGGCTGTGGCCCGGGAGCACTGCCACCCCTCTCCCCAGGCTGTGTGCTCCCACATATTTTGGACTGCTCCCCTTTCTGTGCAGGTGGGTGGAGCCATGCTCCAGAGCCCAGAGAAGCCTGCTGGGGACTCCAGGAGGGAAGGGGAGGACCCCGCCGGCCACCCTGGGCTGTGGCTCCGGTCTGAGCCCCACACTCCTTGGGGAAGCTTCAGAGGGGCAGGGACGAAAAGCCCAGCAGGGTTGTGTCTCTGCATCCTCAGGCCTCTCCACTGCCCGCTTCCTTGGGGTCCTGGTAGATGTGCAGAGCACAGACTCAGTGGCTGACAGTACAGTCTATTACCGTCCTGCTCCAGCCAATTGGTGTCCTCCCATGGCCCCTCCAGGAGCAGTGTGGCTGGCCCAGTCTGCCGAGTGGTGCCATGGGCTCAGCATGACCAGGGAGCTGGTGCTCGGAGCAAGGCAGAGCCTCAGGGCAGTCAGTTACCACACAGGAATCGCTTCCTGAGTCCATAACTGCATGGTTCACCTGTCTGCTCTGCAGTGTGAGGATTCTCAGGCCTGGCTGTCTAATGGTATGGGGCAGGGGGCGCATTTGTTTTTGTTTACTTATGTGTGTACATATGCATGTAGTCTGCGTGTATGTATGTTTTGGGGCCTGGCCTTGCACATGCTAAGCATGTGTTCTCCCTCTTCGATGCTCCGGTTTCATTTTCTGTCACAAGCACACCCACTCCCATCCCTGTGCCTGCAGGGGTCTGGAGGGGGCCCTAGAATCTGCAGTTTCAAGAGAAACTGGTCTGAGAATTCTGACGCACAGACTGGCCTGGAAAACACCTCATTGGATCCCCCTCCCTGCTGCCTCCCGTTTCCTGAACAACTTCGACACTCCCTGGTCCCGGGTCTGGTTAGTCTGCGTTCTCTCCCCTCCCCGGTAGCTCATTCTCAGCAGATAAGCAAGGAGCACCCTCACCCACCCCGGAAGCCCCATTCACTTAGTCCTCCGGCCTGGGTGTCCTGCTCCCAGCCCTGTCATTCCCAGCACCGCTCGGGAAGGCCGGTGAGGGTGGAGGTGCTGCGTGCACTGCTGCCCAGGTTGGCCAGGCCCCGCGTCCCGCTCCTGAGGACTCCCTTGTCCTGCTTGGGTGCTCCCGGCCTCTGTGACTGGTCCTGCCGCTTTCCCTTTGTCTTCTCTTTCTGCGCTAATCCCTAAGATCTTGAGGTCCCCAGGTCTTTCCTTAACTTCTTGCCTTATAAACCTCACCCCTCCTGGGGTGACCTCATTTGCTTCCAGGTGACTTTCAAGGCCAGAAATCGACCCCCCAAGTCCCAGGAGCCCCTCTGGAGGCTGCCCCTCTGGGCCTCCTACTTCACCCCCTAATGGGGAAAGGCAGGAATCCAGGCCCATGCTGGATTGGGTGCCCCTCCCTCAGCCCGCTGTCCTGGGCCGCCCGCCGGGGAGCCCTCAGCATGCAGGTCCTCAGCTCTCCACCAGGCCCGCCTTGCCCTCCTTCCGCCACCAAGCCTCCCGCTGTCTCTCCTGGCCTTCTGCCTTGCCCACCTGACCCTCCTCCTGGGGGTCACAGTGTCTGCTCTAAAACTCAAACCAGTCTAGAACCCCTGTGTAATCCTTTCTCAGGGGCTCCTGGTTGGTCCCTCAGGCCCCTCCCTCCCTGATCTGACCTCTGCCTACCCCAGTCTCGTTTTCTTAATTGATGAAGTTTTCACTGACGACCCCGCTGAGCTAGCCTGGCTTTCTGTCCCCCTGCACGTGCTCCATGCCCAACTCTTTGCCCTACCCAGAGCCCCCCTGCCCTGGGACTGTCTCTGGGTGCTCCTTCAGTGACTTCTCAACAACATCTGGGATTCTGCCTGCTCTTCTGTGGAGTCTTTCCTGCTACAGCCAGAGTCCTGTGACCCGGTGTTCCTAGCAGACGGCGGCGTCCAGGCAGGAGTGGGCTCCTCACCTGGGCTCCACACCTGTCCCTTTTCCCTAGTCCTGCACCTAGCACTGGCATCGAGCTGGCACTCGAGGGAATGAATTGGAACTGACACTGTGGCTGGGTGGAGATCTTTATTTAATGGGTAAGACTCATTGAAAATAATTAACACCTCTTCCTATGAAAATGTGCTAACATCATTTTTAAAACTTACCGCTGAAGTGAGTAAACCATGTTTTGATTTTATCAATCCAATGGTTATGTAACCACCAGCTTCCGCGGTGCATGTGACCTCCTATGGCAAAAGGGCACTATGATCACTGTCTTCTAATTAGTGAAATCTAAATTAATGCAACTGCAGCTAAGTGCGCGCAGAGCGTAGGTCATGTGGGTTCATCCTTTGGTGCACATCTTAGCGCTGTCGGGTATGGCAGCATGGGTCAGGGAGGTTCGTGGCCACCGGTCCTCACACCATGCCCATGCTGAAGTGCATGTGGGCGGCTCATCTTTTCCCCGAACGACTTGGAGCCTTGCTGCCATCCTTCATCCTGCAGGCCCGAGGTCTGCAGAGCGCTGGACTCACAGCCTCCCCCTCCCTGCAGCAGCAGGCAGGTGCTCAGAGAGGCCCCGCTGGCCCCAGCCAGTTTGGGAGTTCTGATGAGATTCTGCTTTCGACGGGACATGGACAGATGCCTTTTAATTTGAAGAGTCTGAGTTCAGGGACATTTTCCTTATGCTCAGAACTTTCCATACCGGATGTATGAACTGAACCACATGACATGCTAGGATGTAGCTGTTCTCAGCCTACGGAAGAGCTCATTAATACAGTTCTGCCACATGAAAGAACATGGTTCCCATTCCTGGGTAGGACACAGCTACAGAGAGAGGGTCACAGGATCTCAGGAGAGTGCTGGAGGAATCCTGGCTCCATCTGTCTTAGTACCTTCAAGAGTGATCCTGAATGAGGCAGGGCAAAGTGGAGCAGTTCAAGGATATTTGAAAACCATGAAGGATGAAGGTTTTCCCTTATCTTTTAAAGTAAGGATGGAGCACCCTAGACTGAAAAGAACTCAGACTTCGAGTACAGACAGATGGGCCCTGCTATGTGGGCAAGTTGTTTAGTCTCCCTGAGCCTTGGTGTCCCTGTCGGCAAAACGGGGACAATGATAACCCCCTCCAGCAGTTTTAAGAAGGAAAGGCGATGTAGGTAGAGAGGGCAGCATGTGCTGCGCACCGCAGGTGTGTGGTAAGTGGGAAATCGTTACTTAACATTTCCCCACATTTTCTTGTTCCTCTTCTACCACTTCTACTTCTGCAGTGTTCTCTTTTGTAGTGATGTCCACTTATGCTCACTGCCTATTCCACACACATGATGTGCTAGCAGGAGCACAGGGTGGTGGCACACACTTCCCGATGGTCCCCACGTCCCCTTGTCCACCACCAAAGCCTGAGTCCACGTCCCTGTCATTCTCAGCTGCTGCTTCTCCTCTCTGTCTTCCCCATCTCAGACAATCTAAATCCACCAACATCGTACCGACAGACTAATTGTCTCAAATTGCTTAATTTTAGTTAATTACTTTTCTTAAATTCCTGCTTCCCTTACATCACTTTCCTGCTCAGAACTCTGTGCAGGCCCTGTTTCCTGTAGGGCTACCCAGGCATTTGCAGCCCTCCACAGGCCCCAGTCACTCCCAGCTCTGCCCCAGTCAACTCCTCTGTCACCGCTGCTGCCTCTGCAGCCCTCACCCTCCTCCTCCTCCTCCGGGGGATTTCACCTCTGCTCCTGCAAACCTGCTCCCAAGCCTTGTCCCTCGCTCCCCTGCCAAGTGAGCAGGAGGAGGCATTTCCTCCCTACACCGAACACCCCGGGGAGCCTTTACAGGGAAGAGACTTCACGTGACTCCTCAGCCCGGCCCCCCAGGAAAGAGACGGCCCAGGAGACACCCTGTGGTGCAGCTTTGCTTCTTTGACCCCCGAAGGGCTGCCCGGCTCTGTGCGGGAACAGAGGCCTCACTGGCGACTGGACTGACCTGGCACCCTTGGCTCGCACACCCTCCCGAGCGCCAGTATTCCCAGGGGCGGGGCTTGCATAGGTGGGGCCTACAGGAGGGAAGCAGGAGGGTCAGAATCCAGAAGCAGGGGTCAGAGAAGGTGCAGCGGCCTCTGACGATGGAGGGGGAAGCTGTGGCCAGGGAATGTAGGTGCCTTGGGACAGGACCGATGGGCAGTCTCCCCAGAGCCTCCAGCAGGAGCCACCCAGTGGCTGCATTCCACTCTTCTGACTTGTAGGACTGTAAAAGAAAAATGTGTGTTGCTTAAGCCACTGTTTGGGGTACTTTGTTCCAGCAGCCACTGGAAGCAGATACAGGTAGGGACAGTGCCAGCTGCTCCTGGGTGGGCTCAGGCTATTCGGTAAACACAGTGCTGTTGTCCACGGGAGTAAGACAGGACGAGCTCAGGAAGGAGGGTGGGCACAATCCGCACTGCTTGGCACCTGGTAGCTGCTCCCTTCCCTCTCCTGCAGCCTAGGAACCCCTCAGGGGCATTCTAAGGGCCCTGGCCTGGCCTGTGCCTCCTCCGAGCTGCTGGCCCCATGTCTCGGCTGCTGCCTGCCCCTGGGTGTGCACGTCCGTGCCGGGTCCTCTGCTTCTCCAGACTTTACCTCCACCTCCCTCCCGCAGTGCCTGCTGTCTGCTCTGCCCTTGTGGGTCCTGAGGGCCTTCGCTGCACACAGTTGCCTCGCACCGTTGCCTGGGGGCTGCCCTGCCGTTCCTTCACCTGGGGCCTGCTGATCATGACTTCAGGTTCCCCACTGGCTCCAGGACCACTGGGCCTCACCCCTCCTGGTGTCCCCTGCCCTCTCCAGCCTGGGGACGACAAGGCCCGGGTCGGCATCTGAGCTGGGACGGCTGGTCTGAGGGCAGGTGTGGGCATCGCGTTCTTCCAGCTCTTGGGGGTGGCCGTCCATGCCCCTCCGTCTCTGCTCTCTGCGGCTGACACCCTGGTCTCTCACAGGGACCTTCGTCTCGGCCTTCACTGTGCTGTGCGGGGCCCGCACGGACCTCCCTGACAGGCACGTGTGCTGTGTCTTCTGGCTGAACATCGCGGCGGCTCTCATCCAGGTCCTCACGGCCGTCGCCATGGTGGGCTGGATCATGAGTATCTTCTGGGGCATGGACATGGTCATCCTTGCCAGTGAGTACCTGCCACGCCGTGCCTCTGGGCGGGCCCAGGTCTGGCCGGGCCTGGAGCGGGGGAGGTCAGGGTGCATGTGGAGGCCTTCACGGCTGGCCAAGGGCCTGCCCATCCCAAGGGCTCACCTACGTCCGCCTCTCCATGCCTGGCCCCGATACTACAGGAAATTTCGAGTGCGTGGCAGATCGAGTGTCCTTGCAGAACCCTGAGACACAGGCAGGAGAGAGGCAGGGGCCCTGTCCAGCCAAGACACACAGTCACTGTGGAGGAAACAGCCCAACCCCAAGCCCCTAGCCCTGGGGGCAGCCTGTGGGAGCACAGCCCCTAGCTAGCCCACTGTGCTGTCTCCTGCCTCAGTTTCCAGAAAGGACAAGGCCACATGGCAGATTTGCACACTGGAAACCCTGGAGCTGGACTTTTACAGCTAGAGCCCTGTAATTCCCCCACTGATTAAACTAAGCTCTTTAGTCCTTGGTGCTAAAGGCTTATTAGTCCTCATTTGTTTGAAGTGGATCTTCATCATCTTTTAATGCAAACTTAATTCAGATGCAAAACTGTTCTGTAGAAAGCATAAAGTTGCAAAATCAGGTTTATAATGGCTTGATTGCCATTTTAAAATAACCTAGCAGAGTCTGGAATCAGACACCAGCTGCTTTGGGCAGCTGCACAGGCCGGGGTCCCTGTGCACAGGGCATGTTCTCACCCCATCGGGCCACATCTCAGGCACTCTGCTCTTCTCTCCACCCCACCTCACCCTGCATCCTCACTGGGGCTTACACCCAGCAGGTCATCACTGGAGGGATTGCCAATGCCCAAGGAAGGCCATGCCAAGTAAGAGCAGCAGAGACAGGAGGGCTCAGGGGCTCTAGAATGATCTAGAATGAGCCAGACTCCACTGGAGTCTGTAATGGGCACACACATGTCGGGGCCAGAGTCAGAGACTAATGAAGAAGATACAGTACCAGAGCCCGAGGGAAAGCCAGCATCGCTGGTGGATTGGTCGGACTGGAGAAGAGGTTAGGGGAGGACTTGGGCCCACAGTTAGAGCAACCCAGGCAGACGCTGTTCAGTCAGAGGAAGCCAGGAGTGGGACAAGGAAGAGAGCCTGGCCGAGAAGCAGTGGAGAAACCCTCCTTCCAGGGAGGGCTGTCCTGGGTCGGGGGCTGCCCGCAGAGAGGGGATTGGGATGCCTACCTGGCAGCCCCACAAGTGGCCTTGTGGTACTCGTCCGTGCCCAGGGCCACTCCATTCTGGAGAGGGCAGAGAGCACTGCTGGCAGGAAAGCAGCCTGATGGTTTCCTAGGTGGAACTAGGGCACTTCCTGGGGTCCACGGGATGCTCCACAGCTCCTGACCCTGTCCCCAGTCAGACGGCAACAGTATGTCTGCCCTTGGAAGGGCCTGTGTTTGGAGCCCATGGGCCCCTCTAAGTGGCTCATCTGTTCATCAAACTAAGGCTCTGGCCAGGTAGTGGGACTTTAGAGTGCGTGAGCTTTCTTTCCATTGCTGTAACAAATGCTGAAGTCAACTTACAGAGAGGAAAGGTTTATTTTCACTCACAGCTCTGGAGAGTTCAGTCCATGGTCAGCTGGTCTGCTGCTTTGAGCCTGTGTGAGGCAGGACACCATGACAAGTACACATGGCAGAACAAGAAGCCACTCACCCCATGGCTGGGAGGCAAAGGAGAGAGGGGAGACACTAGGGTCCCACAGCTCCCGGCAAGGCACATCCCCAGTAACCTCGATACGCTCCACTGGCCCCACTTCCCCTTCAGGGCCATTCAGGGTCCGAAGCACAGGTGTAAGGAAGCTCTTCGGGGAACGGAATAGGCCTGGGGCACAGCATAGGTTTCACTGGAGGTGTGTGGATGCCGAGCTGACCTCCAGAGCTTTCTGGTGTCCAATCTCCTCAGCCTTCTGTGGGCTTGTGTCCCAAGGAACCATCGCCAGTGGGAACTGTCTCGTCACAAATGCATCTAATACTTCAGTAAACCCACTGTAAGCTCAAAATACAATTGAATCGGGGACCATCTGTGCTCGTCTCTGGTCACCCTTAATCCCCAGGAACCAAGGGGTCTAGACCTTCGTGATGACTTGAGGAGTCCCTGCCTCAGCCCTGGATGAGCCCCCCCACCCAGAAGAGGGGGTGTGGCCACCCCTCACCTTTCATCATCCAGGCTGCTGACCTGGCCAGGAAGTTGCTCTTCGGCAGTGTGGGCCTTAAGGGCCGCAGGGTATTCAACGACAAGACCCTCCAGCCTCAGCCTGGCCACTCCCTGCCCAGCCCCCGAGTCTCTTCTGGGGACTATCAGCTCCTTGGGTGTGTGTGCACTGATTCTGGACATGCCGTCTTTGTGTCAGACTTTTAAGAATGATTTTGGGGGAGTCACAAGAAAAGCATCCATGTCCTGCCCTTTCTCACTTTCTGGCCTGAGCAGACTCATTGTCCTCTGCACTTTCCCCCAAACTCCCCCGTGCCCACAGAGCCAATGCATGCCCCTGGGGGATGGAGCGGTGTTCGAGGTGGTCCTACTAAGGGAATAACCACGATTCACTCCTCACCCACTAGGCAGTTGACTAGGGGCTGTTCTTTCTGGTTCACTCAGCCCCTTCCTGTAAAAGGAAACTTTTCAGTTGTAAGAATACAGCGTGATCTTTCATATGGAGCCCTCTAGGATGTCTCCAGAAAATACAGCATCACGAAAAACTCCGGAGAGGGGAACCAGAGAAATAAAGGAAGCTTAAGTTAAAGCCAAGAACTATAAGCATGCTGCTCTAGTTATATTGGCAATAACAAATGACCAGAAACAGTCTGTCTCGGTTGGGTCTGAATAAATACTTGGCACATCTGCTGCCACAGCCGTGGCAGACCGGGGGTCAGTCAGGACTCTGCAGGACCCTCTCCCATTTCCCCAGCGCAGCCTTCAGCAGTCACACGCAGTTGATCCAGGACATCCGCGAGGATGTCTGCCATCCTGGAGCCTGGATCTTCACCGAAGCCTTAGGCTTTCCACATGTGGCTGCTGTCCATGCAAAGCTCTAACCCCGCAGCCGGGCAGCGCAGGCCACTTCAGCATCCGGAAGTTGTCCCTGTCCCTTCCCAGACCCAAGCAGAGTCCATCTCAGGGGGGGCAGGAACAGGAGGGCGGGAGGTGAGCGGGGCGGTGGGCGTGGCTCAGACGTGGGCTGGGAGGGGCCAGCCTGCGCAGGTCAGCCTGGGGGTGGGGGTGGGGCGCTCTGCCGGGCCCCGCCCCGAGCCGCGCGCTCTGACTCCGACGGGTCGGCCTGGCCGCGGCGACCGACGCAGAGCACCCCGTGCCGGGCCCCTTCGGTTTAGACCACACCAGTCCCGAGGCTTCTGTTTTCAACCGTGTTTTCTCTTTCCTTCTGCTCCTCACCCTGCTGCCTCGCCCCTCTGCATTGCCGCAGTTTCCCAAGGTGAGTCCGGGGCAGCCTGGGCGCGGCTCAGTGCCCTCCCTCCCTCCAGGCGCGCCCTCACCCTGCCCACTCCCCTGCCTTCGGCTGCTCAGCAGGTTTGTGCTTTTAGCTTTTTGTTTTGGAAAATGTTTAAACAGACAGAGGGAGGGTGCGGCGTAGCGCCTCCCTGAGTGGCCACGCTGGTTCACCGATTCCCTCTCAGCTCCCGCCGCCCGTCACACAGCAAGAGCCCCCAAGTCCGGGGAGCCCCTTCAGGCTAAGTCAGCTGGGTGAGGCGCGCTGATCTGCAGAGTCCACGCCCGTCCTCTCAGCCGTGTGACTTCTCCAATCAGCGGCAATTCCTTCACATAACTGTGTTCAAGTCTCCCTACAGGGCCTGAGGACGTCACGCAGTGGTAGAGGAGTTACCTTAGCACACTTGAGGCCCCAGGTTCGATCTCCAGCATCACAAAATGATAATAATTTTTAAAATTTGGGAAAGTCCCATGATTATCTACAGTGTTTTCAAGGCTCAGATGCTCCTGCCCCTCTCCTTGTCCCAGCCTGCCAGCCAGCTGCTTCCTCCTGCTTCCCTTCCTCCTTTCCCCAGCCTGTACCCATGCCCAGCGGTGGGGGACACTCAGCTGTACTTTCTCCCCGAGCTCTGCATTCCAGCATCACACCAGGCCAGTGGGAGGCTTCCAGGGTGTGGACTCAGGCGCAGGTCAATAGCATTCAAAGCTCCACACTAAATACCCCTCAGTCCCAGTAAACCAAAAGTCCACAACTCTTCATTCATGAACTTTATTTCCCATTAAAAAGTCAAAGCCCTTAGGAAAAGTTATGCCCTGGCATAACAGTCACATGCACTGGAGCATGAATAAGGCTGCGAGAGCACATTCTGGCTGGGGCACCTCCTGCAGAAACCTGGAAGGAAGCCAGTGTCTGACTGTCTCTCTTCTCCCTTTTCCTCACAGGGTACAAGGAGCACGGGACCCCACAGCAGCTGTGAGCCCATGGGACCTGCTGGGGAGCCCAGAGTGGCCCTGTGAAGGCATTGCCAGGCAGCTCTGGCCCAAGGACCCCCTCTTCTGCTGTTTCCTGGATTTGGGGCAGGAAGGGGGTATATTTGAAAATACATCATTTATTTTGAAAACATACCTGCTTTGCCCAGCAGGCTGAGGGCAGCCGGCTCTCCCTCCTGCTCTGGAAAGCAGTGTAGGCACCGAGTGTCAGGGAGCAGGCAGGCGATGGGAGTGCCGGCAGAGACAGGCTGGGGTGCTTGAGGGCTGACCTTTGCCTGGCAGAGCTCACTGCCCACCGCGGGGCACCCAGAACCCCCGGCCAGGGCCTCTGTGGGCCATGTCAGGGTGACTGAGAGCACTTCCTCTGGCCCCCAGCCCTCGCCCCAAAGCCCTGGTGTCCCTAGGGTTTACTCTGAGGTCTTCTGGGGCAGCAGCAGGGTGGGAGTAAGGGTGGCCAGACGCCTGCCCAGTGAGGAAGGGGCTGTGCCCCAGCTGGCCCAGACCGAGCCTGGCTGTGCCCCAGCCTCCTTGCTGCTGACAGCTGTGGCTGGATGGGTCTGGGCTTTGTTTCCCTGGGCCCAGGGCAGCGACTCCACCCCTTGGGCAACTGCCAGCTGTTCAGGAACAGACTGAGGAGTGAGTGGGCACAGCGGGCAGCCTTCTTCAGAATGCTCAGTACACCTTCTGGTCCTTACGCTCTTTTCTAAAATCCTCGGAGCCACACGAGTCTCTGAAGACAGAACTGTTGGATCTGAGAAAGATGACATGATCCACGCACCACACATTTCCTGACAGCCTCCTAGCAGTCTGGGCCACCCTGCACGCCAGCAAGCATGTGAACACTTCTGCCGAGAAACACGAAAAGAGTCCAGTCCCCTGGGGTCAATGAGAACTGCAAGTGACCTCGCTGGTTCAGGTCCGATCTCACCGCTAGATAAGTCCTGGGGAAAAACGGCCATTGGATGGCTTCTGGGGTTCCAGCACTGCGAAGCAGTTTTGTGAGGCTGTGGGCCTCGATCTGGAAATCCTACCTCCCAGCGGGAGCACTGGAGGGAGGTTGCTGCCTGTGCAAGGGTCCTCCAGGCGCCTGGGACCGCAGGCCCTTTACGGCTCCTCTGAGAGAGGTTGTTACAGAGAGGAGAAACCGACAGGTGTACAGCTTACGGTGGTCAGGCACCAGTCTGCAGCGGCCAGGAGCGCGGTCCCCAGTTACAGTGCCAGATGGACAGCCACACTCTCTCCTCTGCACTTCCTCATGCGGGAGGCACTGACCTTGGCCTTGACCCTCCTCAGGGCAGCTCCTGTCTGTCAAGGCTTGCTCAGGAGCGGGACCCAGCTGTCTCCTCCGCTGCTAGACGGGGTCAGCGAGAGGGCCACCTCACGGGGGTCCAGCCCACCGGCCCTGCACTGGGCACGACGACGATCGGAGTCCTGCCGGGAGCCGCAAGCTGTCTGCTCCCCCTGCCCACCACTCCCGGCCGGCCGAGCTTTCTGACGCTCTGGTCTTCCTTTCGGGCCTCCTTCTTCGCAGCCTGGGCTGGCTGCACATCCTGACCCAGGGCAGTGTCCCAGCCTCCACCCGGCCTGGGCTCTGTGGCCTGTCTCCTGTTCAGAGGGCTCGGGGTCTCCAGGCCTGGGCTCAGATTTGGCTCCACCCGAAGAACCCGGGCCCTTGGGGCCGAGGAGTCAGGGAGCGTCTTCGGCCACGCCCACAGCGCTCCCCCGCGACTCCTCCTCCGAGTGACGACTCCTCCCCATGCCCGTCCCCAGGGGCTGCCCCTGCAGGGAGAGGAGGAGCTTATTCCCCTGGCTGGGCTGGGGGTGGCTGCTGAGGGAGTGGAGGAGAGGCAGCGATTTACTTCGTACTTTGTTGACACAACCCAGCGGGTGGGATCTTCTGGAGTGGCAGTTGTCAGCACGCGTGCGGTGCCCGTGGGGGATGGCTCGATACAGTGGTGTGTGCCCACGGAGGGCCGTCGCCCACCCCTCGAGAGCACGCAGCCTCAGGGGAGGCCCCTCTCCAGGGAGCTGGGTGTGGGCACCTGCTGCCGAGCACTGCTCCTGGGAGGGCGGCTGTGGGCGGGAGGCTCCGAGCATCGCCCGAGAACGCTGGTCTCAGCATTGACCTTGGTAGAAGGGGCAGCGAGGGCCGCCTGGACCATCAGGAGGCCCAGAGCGTGTGTGGAGCAGCAGCCAGCGACGAGCAGGACTGTCCAGCACGGGCTTTGCTGCACGCAGCCCAGTGCAGAGTGGGGCTTGCCTCTCTTGCTTGAAGGCCAGCACAGGGCCGCAGCACAAGAGGGTCAGGCACCTTCCCTCCAGGCTCCCACGGGTCAGTGTGCGGCAGGCTCTGCCTGGCTGTAGCAGCCACAGTGAGGGAGACACTCCAGGCCTAGCGGGGGGACTGCGGCCAGAGTGGGACCCTGCCGTCAAGGGTGAGGCCTCTGGCAGCTGGGGTGTCCTGGAGGCCGGGTGGTAGGAGCAGCAGGAGCAGCAGGAGCAGGCGGCACTCCTGGGCCAGCCTGACACACTGCTGGCCCTGCACTGGCGAGGCCTGTTCTCCTGAGAGGAGGGAAGGAAGGGACCTGCGCGGTGGTCGCCTTGCTTCTCGGCCCGGAACCACAGGCCGGCCCTGTCAACCGCCTCGCCTTGGCCCTGCTGCTGTCCCTTCCCTGTGTCACACAGAGGCTGGGTGAGCCCCAGCAGACAGTCCCGCCTGTGGGAGGGAGATGCTGGGCAGCCCAGAGAGGGTCCTCACCCCACTGACAGAGGAGAGCAAAACAACCAACCTCAGCAAGGAGCCCACCTGCCTGAAGAGCCTCTGCCTGTCCTGTTTCCCCTCCAGCTCGAACACCTTGGCTCGCAGCAGGCCCTGCTGCAGGTCCCAGACGATGGTGGCGGAGATGGAGCCGGCTTTGGAGCTGCCTGGCCCTAACCCGAAGATCAAGTCCCGCTTTCCCAGCTCCAGGCTTGCTGCCCTCCCTGATGCCCAGCCCGAGGGGCAGCTGGGCCTCCTCCCGGCCCCATGCCGGCTCCCAGGCCCGGCTCAGGCCCACTGACTCGCACTGCTTTTTACTGTTACTGTTCGTGGTGTTGCACACAAAGCTGGGAGCGTTGGGGATGCAGAACATGAGTGTAAATTCTCCAGCTAGCAGGCGCAGGTGCAGCTTAAGGCCTGTGCCGTCCCTCTTGCTGCCGTTCTTTGAGACTTCTATCCCAGGGACTGAAGGGGGGGCCTTTTCAAGGACCCTCAGCTTGCCAGCAGTGCTCCCCAGAGGTGGTTGGGGGCCTCAGAAGCCATTGCTGCTGGCCCCTGCCCCTCGCCTGACAGAGTGGGGTGCTCCCGCTCGGCATCAACACAGGCAGAGCACGCTGTGAGCGCCAGCAGGTCAGGTAGCCTTCGCCATCGGGTGTGGTTTTATCAGAAGGTCAGTCCGAGCATGGCTGGGTGGCTCAGGGCCCTGCTTTGTCCTCAGCCTTCTTCCGAGTGGAGTTTTAGGTCTTCTGAGTGCTCCCGGGGTCCCAGAGGTGGGGAAGCTCCCTTGCTCAGAGTGCATCCCGCCCTAAATCCCGCCACACAGGGAGATGGCCAGAGGGACTCCAAGAGCCCCACATCCCGGGAGTTCTGGCCCGGTGCGGTTGGGGCTGCTCAGACCTGTTTAACCCAGAGTGGACCCTGGGCCATCATTTTTTTCCCATTTCTATCAAAGCTGAGGCTGTGGTGGGCCTGGCCCTGCCTGGCACTCTGTCTTCCCGTGCACGGGGCTGCCTCGCACCTTGAAGGTCTGGAGACCTGTAGCCAGGGCCTCTAAAATTCCAGGCCACTCCTGATGCTGATTGAGGGCAGAAAGGTCCAATTTGTGTGTCCTGAGTTCCTGGTGCAAGTCCTGAAGTCTTTTCCTTTGGATTAGCTGTGGGGCCTCAGTTCCCAGCCCCTCTCCCTTCCTTGATTTACCAAAATGCCAACCCCCAGGCTGGTCTGGGCTCTCCAGTGACTGCCACAATTTCACCCAAGTGGGCAGAGGTGAGCGCGCGCGCGCGCACACACACACACGTGCGCGCACACGCACACAGCTCGACTGCTGAGCAAACAGGATGGCTCCACCTGGAGACTCGGGATTGGACACTTCTCCCCAGGAGCCCATGCCTCCTCTTCTGGGGGGCCCTCTGCTCCCCACCTGGATGCACACGTTCCTCCTCTCCAGGGCCTCTGGCTGGTGGGCCTCTTCCTCCTGGTGGGGAGCCCTGGATTCAGCCCCCGACCTCACCCACCCTGGCTATGCTCATCCCCCACGTCCCTCAGTGTGGGCTTCCATGGGCGGGGACAAAATGGGCCTGCAGGGAGAAGAGGGACAGCGCCCTTCCCCTAGTGTCCTCTGGAGGCTGCGACAGTCTTCCCTTCTGAGACCTCATTCTGTCCGCGGGACCCAGCCCCTGCACCCAGCAACAGAAGAGGAGAAGGGATGACGGCACCTGCGGGAACCCAGGACTGGCCCTTTCCATGAGTTAAGTCCCAGGCCCTCTTATGCGGCACCATTTTTACAAATCTTCGTGAAAACAAGACAGTAGGGTCCGTGTGTCTGCCAGACCCTCGAGGGACGGGGTGTTGTACTGTGTCCTGCAGTGGCTGATGCTGTACTGGGTCTGTGCGGGTCTCTTCTTTCTGCTAAGTTAGTTGCTGTCCATCTCCATTGTTCTCGGACGATACTCACTGTGGCCTTCCGGGCTCTTAGCTCACTTCAGCCCAGTTCCATGGGGAGCCCCCCAGTCTACCCCAGGGGCTTGTTCCCAGGCCACGCCAAAGACTGGAACTTTTCCTGGGAGAAAATGTCTAATGTTGGAGAAGCTTCCAGACTTGCCCTGGTCCAAACCTGGCTGTCTAGGGCCTGAGCCTGCTGCAGCGTAGCTTGGCTGGCATCCTCAGGCCTGGATAAGCTGGCCATGGCTCAGGAGTGCCCCAAGGACCTGAGCAGGCTCCCTGTTTCTCCAGCCTCCTGCCAGCTTCAAATTCCTCACTCAAGCAGCATCATCATTGTGTCTGTCATGAGAAATAAAACCCATGTATATATCTCCCTGTATATATTTATATATACACACTCGTTCCCTTATAAACATATAAAGCATGCATCTCTTTGACATTCCAAGTTTGTGGGGTTTTTATTCTTGGAAATATGGCTTTGGAAATCCTTTCTTTCTTTCCCTCTTTTCTATGTAATAAACATTCATGTGACCTTCCTGGTGCTTCTGAGATCCCTCTGTCCTCTCGTTTTCATAACCAGTCAGACCTCTGACAGCTACAAAGCACCTCTCTCCCCATCTGTAATCTTCGCCACATTTCCACTCTGAGGGCTGCCTCACCCGCTCTCAGATCCTCTCCAACACCCTCTTTTCCTAGGGGACTGTCACAAGTCACTCCTCAGGCTGCCACTCAATGGTCATCTGATCCCTTAATGGCCAGGACTGTGCACCTGTCAGGATGGGAGCTGTCTTGGTTACTTTTCTCACTGCTGAGACAAAACACCCAGCACCCAAAGTTAAAGGAGGAAAGGTTTGTTTTGCTCAATTTGTAGAGGTTTTGGTCCATAGTTGATTGGCTCCAAGGCAGGGTGGCAGGGCAGAGGAGCAACGTTCATGGAGGGCAGAAGGTAACAAAGCAACAAGGGACGACCACAGCTCTTCCTGTCCCTTCCATCTTATCCGGGCTGCTTAGGGAAAGGCAGCACTCACAGCCTTAACCCCAGTGCCTTGAGCCTAGCACTGCACCATGAATCAATCCCAGCGCCACGAATCCACTCCAGATCCAGCCACCTCTGAAAAGCCCCACCTGTGACCGCACGAGGCTCTGGGGGGATGTCTTTTTGGGGAGCCGTAACAGGAGCACCGCTAGGGCCCACACTCTGCCCTGATTGATGGAAATGTAGTTGATGTTGGTGGTACATAATTTGCTGAGTTCTTCATTCTGAATGAGAATCTGTAAAAGTCCTTAGAAGTTACAACTAGCTGCCACCCTAATGAGGGAACGCTGACCGTGGAGGCTCGAAGGGCACTATTCACAACCCAGCCCCCACCTCACTCATAGGTGCTGAAGACTAGAGAGCTTATTAAATTTGTGGATGAGGGGAAATAAATATGTTAGATGAATGAATCAAAATCCCCAAAGCTCATGGCGGGCAAAGACAATCTAACGAGGTGAAATCTAATTGTGTTCAAGAGTTCTGCTTGGAATGAGCCAGCCGCAGAGCCTTCCCTGGCACTGGGGGAGCATCTAACAGGCAGCTCAGTGTTCTCCAGCATCGTGCTTTGTGAGGAGCAGCAGCTGAGGCCCAGTGGGGAATTGTCTGCAGCAGCGTCATGCTCAACACTCGGGCCACGATGGCGAGTCCCACCATCCCACCTGCCCTCACACGCCCCGAGTTGGATCTGCAGGGTCCTGGGGTCCTGGTCCGTGTGCTGGGGAGATGTCAGAGCCTTTGTGCCCCTGCTGCCTGAGGGAACAATGAGCTTCAGAGGGCAGCGGTGGTGAAATTCAAGCTCAACTGCAATGGCCCCTCAAGGCCCAGAAATGGCGCCGAAGCCCTGGGATGGGACTAGGCATTGCCAAGAGCAGCACCCAGAGTCTAAGGGGCATAAGGACCCAGGCTCCCTCAGGCGCCTACACATTCTTGGGAGCTTTGCTTTTCTTTCTTTTTTTGTACCGGGGATGGAACTCGGGTCCTTGCACTTGCGAGGCAGGTGGCGGAGCCACTGAGCTACATCCCCGGGCCAGCATTTCTTGATTATAGGCATCTGCCAAATACTAGAGATAGTCCTATTCCCCAGGGATACTCCCAGCCAGAGTGTCCTTTCTTTGGGGTCCTCCAGCTTCAGAGGAGCTGGTCACAGTGCATGATGGGAGAGGAAGTGAGTATCACCCTCCACCCCTCAAGGTGGAAGGAGAAATCCCTCAAGTCACCCAGGTCCCCTCTCCTCTCCTGGACCCAGCCCTCTCATCCTTAGGAAGGGTGACATGGGTTGAGTCAGCCTGAGTCTCTCCTGGTTTGTGTGGGATAAATATAGGTCCCTCACCAAGAGCTCTCCTCAAACCCAGAGGGAAGAGACCATGGCCCACAAGAAGACCTCTGCTTCCCAGAATCCTCCGCACCTCAAGACCCCAGGCGCTGGTCAGCCGTGGGAAGGGGCACAGGAGAATGCTGGGAGGTGAAAGGTGTGTGTGGGAGGGAAGGCCATGGTTGGGCCTGTGGCTGGGGATGCCAATCCAGTCCTTAGCTTTGACTCCTTCATGGAGGAGTGGAGGTCAGACTTGGGGCAGAGAGGCCCCAGGTGGTGAATGAGGGAGGCAGGCTATGGGGCTCCGTGCTGGACCACCCAGCCCAGGGGGCAAACGTTTCTGGGATTCTAATACCAATGCGGCCCCTGATTAAAGCCTTCAGGGAATGGTCAAGTGACTCGTGATTTGGTTTATTATATACAGGTTAGGAACAAGTTTATCATCCCAAGTTGAGGTGATAAAAATAACCACCAACAGTGCCAGCTGTTATCATTTGAATCGAACAGTGCTGTTTACGAAGCACTTCCCTCCTTCAAGAAGAGATTCCCTCTGACTGGCATTGATTGGGTATCAGTAGGCACAAATGTTCACGAGTGCTGCTTCGCCTGCACAAACCCATAGGGCGACTGAGCTTGCTCTCTCATGAACATCGCAGGACACGGCCTGAGAAGGGTAAGAGAACGGCCTAGACACACAGCTGGCTGGTGATCTCACCCCGTTCCTGATGTCCAGTCCTTTGTGTGCCGAGGGGACCCTCAGTCAGGGCCTCTTCCTCCCTCGACTTCCACAAAGACAGCACCTGGAACCCGTCTCGAAGGTTGTCAGCCCTGCAAGGAGAGGATCAGACAGCCCTGGCTCTGAATGGCACCCACCGCCCCGAGCGCCTGCGATGGGCCGACCTGCCTCAGACAGCAGGGTGACGCTGGGGCCCAGGGGGGAACCAGCCTCGTTCACAGCACAGCACGGGCAGGGCGTTCCCTTGGCTGGCTGCCAAGGACGGGAGTCAAGGGGAGCGTGTACATTTGTACTCAGCAGGGTGGGACTGGAGCTCTCCCCGCTGCCCCTCCTGCTGTGTGGCCTTTAGTGTAGAGACAGGGAGCAGAGGAGCCGGGGGCCCTGCTGCCGAGCCAGTCCACAGCGAGCGTCCAAGGAGGAGAGGGCATGAAGAGCTCACCTTGGCCCACACAGGTTCTTGACCTTTATTTCGGAAGAGAATTTGAGGACGTGCCCGTTTGAGCCGTGGGCTGACTTACTGGCTGAGCCAGAAAGTGGGAGAGGATGGGCAGGGGCCTTCAGCCTGAGGAGGAGCTCCGACGGCCGCTGGCCCGCAGGGGCCGCCCATCCCCGCCGCTGGGCGGCTCACGGCCGGCCCGTGAGGAGCTGGACTGGAAAACTGCCCAGGGAAGATGCCCATCAGCCCGCTGACAGTGGCCCACACAGGGAGCGCCCCAGGCAGAGCTCCTCCCCTCCTTGCATCCGGATGTTGGAGTCCTAACCCCGGCACCTCCAAAGGTGCCTGCATCTGGAGATGGCCCTGTTAGGGAGGCAATGAGCTCGCTAGGGTGGCCTATTCCGGTGTGACCGGGGCCCTTATAAGACGAGGAGACGAAGACACACGGAAGGCGGCCCCTGCACACCAGGGACGGTGGCCTCAGAAGGAGCCGCTCGCTCACTCCTTGACCTGGGGCTTCTGCCTTCAGAGCTGTGAGATGGGGCGTCTGCTGCTTGGGCTCTCTGGGCTGCAAGTCTTGGCTGCAGTACCCTGAGTGAGCAATGCTGTGATACAAGCCCGGAGTTACCGAGCTGCTCACTTGGCTGGCGGGAGGGGGAAGGGAGGGCCCCCAGAGAAAGAGGAGACAGTGGCAGGTCCCCTGGACAGGGCAGCACTCTTGAGGCCGGGCAAAGCGTGGGCCAGGGTGGCCTGGGTACTCACCCACTGCCCAGGGTCTGTGGGGCACAGCTGCGCGCCTGACCCCAGCCTGTCCTGCAGATGGCCCGGAGGCCAGAGCAGCCAGGGAAGGGTCGTTCTCAGCAGAGTGAGCACCTTCTCCACCCCTGGACCCGCCGTGTCCAGGCCCCAGGGAGACCGCAGTCTGGGCTGAGGTGTCGGAGGAGGACGCACGGGGTGAGCGTTTCCATTTTCATCAAGAAAGCAATGCTAAGAACCAAAAGCTATAAGGAAAGAAACTCCTAAAACTAGGGAGATCATTAGTAGAGTCCAGGTCGGAAGGGGCCCCAGAAGTCAGAGGACAGAGGGTTGCTGGGAACACCTGAAGCACTCCCAGAATCCTTTGGGAGAGTTGAGGCTTGTGTATGGATTTCAGCACCGAGAAACCAGTGTCGGTGCTTTGAGCCTGTGGCACCGGCCAGCCTGTGTGGGTCCAGCTCTCTGCCCCTCCCACACCCGAAGCCCACCCAGCCCCCCTGGCACAGCACTGGCCCACACCCGCCAGGAAAGCAAGGCTGGTCTTGACTGTTCTCTGAGGCCCTTGCAGAGGTAGCTCCTGTCCCACTACCCAGGTGATGCAGGGGGTGCCAGTCCCAGACCACCCCCAGCACCCCAGCAAGAGGGGGTCTATGGCCCTGCCAGGCTCCCAGCACCCCTCAGGCTAACCTGGGATGATCAGGTCTCCTGGACACCCTGATCCTCGCTCCTGAGGCTTTTGTAAGCCTGAAATACTCAGAATCTGCAGCTTGAAGCTACTTATGCCAACAGGCAGAGCAGGCAGGGGGGAGGTGGAGGGAGAATCTTATTCCATCACCCAAGGTCAGTTGTAGCCCTGCCAACCACCGAGCAAGAGTGTGAGCCACCAGTGCCTGCTCCCTCTGTCCCTTTCCATAAACGGGTCCAAGTTCTCTCACTAGTAACGATGAAAAGTCCTAGCTAAGTACACGCTCCTCAAAGCCTCCTGTGACTCACTGTCTCCGTGCCCGCTTCCTGCCCAAGGACAATGGCCACCACCTACTGAGCCCCTACAACACGCCAGACCCAGCCTGGGTACGTCAGTCGGTTTTCCCAGATGGAAACAAGTGACTGAAATAAGTCGACTTAACAAGAGGAAAGGTTTCTACTGCCTTGTGATTTCAGAGGCTTCCATCCGTGACTGGCTGGCCTTGGTCTTTGGGCCTGCAGCGAGGCAGCATGTCATGGAGGGAGCATGTGGCAGAGGAGCCTGCTTGCCTCACG